GCTGGGGCCCTATAAATTAGACTGACAAAATACAGATTAGCAAGAGAAAAACAGAAGTTTATTAGCATGTGCATCACTCATACACATGGGAGCACTCGGAGATAAGTAATTCGAAGGGCTGGTTAGAAGTTGGGCTTACATAGTATCCTACGTAAAGAACAATAAATTTTTAGAGAAGTGACAAGGCAAAGAAAAAGGACTTCATGTTTCTAGGGCAAATTGTGGGAAGGTAAATATTATGAAAGAACTAATGGAAAATAAGGATTAGTTAGTAAAATTGTTACATAGAGTCCTCCAGTGACATCTCCAGGCTGATAAGGGTTTAGAGTTGTCTCTGGTAATTAACTTCTGTCCTTCCTGATAGAGGGGGAGGAAGGCTTTACAAATTTATGTCCCACTTTTAAGCAAATAATAGAGGGAGAAAGAGGAGCTTTTCTTGTATCTTCTTTTTCTCAATTGCCTTCAGCTCAAAATAGTCTTATGCCAAAGTGGTATATTTTGATGTGGCAGATTCTGCCACCCTTCAACTCCCTGGGTCCCTGTGCCAAACTTTAAAAAGCAAAATAAGGATTTTACATAGAAGGAGGGGCACAGACTTACTTTAGGTTGCTGATTTATGCACTTATTTAGAAAGGGCTCTAACCAATTCCAAGGCCTGAGTACGTGATTTTTTAACAAAGGTATTCTAACTCATTTAGAACAAAAGAAAGGCATTATGCAGATATTCAGCCTTTAAAAGCCACTCTAATTGCTTCTTGCCTTTGACTAAGATCAACTGTAGTAAAAGCCACTCTGCCTTGACATGCTCCCAAGCAGTTACTAGGAGATGGACCAAAGTTTTAGTTTCACATCCTGTACAAAACCACTGCTATTTAGAATTCCATGTTATCAGTAATACCCCTAGTTTGTATTATTGGAATAGAATTATATCTATAACTGTGGTTTAGGCAGATTCATATCTCTTCTCCAAGCAAGCACCGACATGTTTCAGCATGGCCAGTTAGTAATTCTTTCAGCCATCCGCCATGGATGGCTAGGACTGCTGTTCTGACACAAGAGAAACTAACCACAGCTAACTTTCTCCACTTGATTTGACTGTTTTATTCATTAAATCAGTGGATAATATTATTAAATTAGTAAGGTAACCATTTAATTTGGAATAAGGCCAGTGTCAAAAGTTACATAAAAGAAATAGTTCAAAAAGTTCTATGGGTTCCCGTTGCATGGCTACACAGTCTGACTCAGCCTCTGACACAAACAGCTGCAATGGCGTTGCCTCTTATGAAAATGGAAGAAATTCCACTTTTGTAAAGAGATATATATATTCTAATATGTGTATGTGTGTGTGTGTATATGTATAGGCTCTTGAAGGAGAGTGCTGTAAACATGCTTGAAGATTATCTTAGACTTTACACTTAATAGAATACATATAACAGCTTATTGATTTTAACCAAAAGTTTTCTTGAGCCCATGGTGAAAAAGTAAATGAGAGCAGAGAATCAACCCAGGTCATTATTTTAGTTTTGAAGAAAAAAAGTGGCTATTGATATATATATGCATTTTCTTTCCCAAGATAACTTTAAATGTAACTCTGAGTCCCCACTGTCTTTGTGCCATCATCCAGTAACTGCTGGTGCTTTCACAGCTCACAGACACATGAAGATCTTCAACATCCCCAGCAACTCCAGCACCATCTCTGGCTTCCTCCTTCTGGGCTTCCCTTGTCCCAGGGAGGGGCAGATCCTCCTCTTTGTGCTCTTCTCTGCTGTCTACCTCCTGACCCTCATGGGCAATGGTTCCATCATCTGTGCTGTGCGCTGGGATCAGAGACTCCACACCCCCATGTACATCCTCCTAGCCAACTTCTCCTTCCTGGAGATCTGGTATGTCACCTCCACGGTCCCCAACATGCTGGCCAACTTCCTCTCTGACACCAAGGTCATCTCCTTCTCTGGCTGCTTTCTCCAGTTCTATTTCTTCTTCTCCTTGGGTTCTACAGAATGCTTTTTCCTGGCGGTTATGGCGTTTGATCGATACCTTGCCATCTGCTGGCCTCTACACTATCTGAGCATTATGACCGGACGTCTCTGCACCAATCTTGTGATCAATTGCTGGGTATTTGGTTTCCTCTGGTTCTTAATCCCCATCATCATCATCTCCCAAATGACCTTCTGTGGATCCAGGATTATTGACCACTTCCTGTGTGACCCAGGTCCTCTCCTAGCACTCACTTGCAAAAAATCTCGTGTGATAGAGCTTGTCTTCTCCACCTTAAGTCCTCTGCCTCTCATTATTCCCTTTCTCTTTATCATGGGGTCCTATGCTCTGGTCCTGAAAGCTGTGTTGAAGGTCCCTTCAGCCTCTGGGAGAAGAAAGGCTTTCTCCACCTGTGGGTCTCATCTAGCTGTGGTGTCTCTGTTCTATGGCTCAGTACTGGTCATGTATGGGAGCCCAACATCTGAGCATGAAGTTGGAATGCAGAAGATTGTCACTCTGTTTTATTCTGTTGTGACCCCACTCCTAAACCCTGTGATATATAGTCTTAGGAACAAAGATATGAAAAAAGCCATGCAGAAATTTCTGGGAATATAAAGTATTAATCAAAAAGGCCCTTGGGCAATTAAACTTGATTTAACTTCTTTTCAGGTTGAAAACACCTGGTTTTATTCAGATAATTGTTCACCTTAGTATTGACCAAAACCTGAAACACCTATGAGCATGTTTCTGTTATTTCTTCTTTTGGATCTTGATCATGTCCTCCTGCTTAGCATGACTTAATTGTTTTTAATTGACTGCTGGGCATTGTATTTTAAAAATTGTAAAGACAGTGGATATAGTAACTCAAAAATGGTTAAGTTTTCTTCTAGCAAGTAGACAGAGGCAGATCCCTTTGATTCCATTTAAGGATTATTTTTAGGTGTTTTTAAAATAGTCTATGCTAGTTTGGGTCTTACTCCTAGGGTGTGGCTCTTACTCCAGGAACATGGCCTTTCTGAGATCTCAGTTATACACCTGGACTGCTTAGAAGGCCCCTTCATTTTAGTAGGTCCTGACCTCCTATTTATGTACTACTTAAACCCCTTTGAGACAGTATAGGGACAGAACTCAGACCTCACTTCTGACCAAGGGAGGCAACATGGGGCAGAATGACCCAGCCTAATTAACTATAGAAGAGAAAAAAACAAATGACCTCCTAGCCACTGGAATTCAGCCCATACCTATATAAGGAGGGGGCCAAATTATCTGTCTCTTGAGTAATGTCTTCCAGGACCACTGAAGCAAGATGCTGACACCAGCTGATAAGGAACCTGGCTACAAAGAAACCAGACTTATCTGCATCTAACCACCTCAAGCCAGAAAAAAACCCTATACTGACCTTACTCTGACTTTTCCCTCATTACAATCTCATTTTAATGCTAAAAAAACACATCCCAGGCTGGAGATTTAAAATGCTAATGATACATGTGATGCATGAAGAACATGACCATCAAGTACACAGCTGCCAATATAATACTGTCGTGTGATGACTTCAAAGCTGACACCTACCTCCCTCTTTACCACCTTGTGAAAGTTCCCCAGCCCTTTGTTTGGAGAACCAGTCTGGTTGCCCCCTTAACCAGCACTGCCTCCCTTTTTGTTTGAACAAAAAGCCCCAGTAAAAGTCTTGCCTGCCTAAATCTTCCTGGTCTCATGCCAATTTCTATTCACTTGGGTATCAAGAACCTGAAATCCAGTATCACCTTTGCTCTTGAAACTTCTGCTTAGCTCTTTAGACTCCTAGCTTCTGCTAGTTATTTTGAAGTCCCATCTTGCACGTGAACAGTTTAGAAATTCAAAATGCCTTGAAGGGAGATTGCATCATAGTTTGAACCTCACTTCTGTGTTCCCCCTCTATTTGTTTCTCAAACACCAGCTGCTTTGGCAGCTACAAACTCCAAATCCTTTATCTCCTCAGTTCAGTGCTTTCTGCTGTGAGGGAGAAGGTAAAACTTCCCCTCTGCCCTGGAAGTTTCATTGAAAGATCAACTCACAATAAGGCAGATTAATAAGAAATAGGGATTACAAATTTATTTACCGTGGCCACAGGGAGAATCACAGAGTGATTACCCAATATCCAAATGGGGTCCAGAAGTTTATATACTCTCATTTTAGAGGGGGGAGGAGGAGATGAGGAATATCGGTAATTCTGTTGAGGGGCAATAATTGATTACTGAGGAGGATGTATAGATGCTTGCGAGAATGAATGGATGGGGGAAACAGATTGACTTGTAAATTATTCTTTTTGGAAACTAAATTAACCTGAGAGACAGGAATTATTTTTTAAATGGATTGGACCAGGTCTGGTTGTATTCTTGATCTTCCTTCCTGCAAAAGATAGAGGAAGGAAAGACAATTGTTTTTCTAGGTAGGTCTGGATCTCAGGCAGATAAAGAAACTTCAAAGATTTTGGGAGAGCAAGTGATGGGGGTAGGGGAGCTCAGACAGATCTTGAGGCTTTTTCAGTCAATCCAGTATGTCAAAATGCCATATTTTGGGGTAAAAATATTTCTAATTTCCTTCACTGCTCAGCCTCTATTCCTCCCTTCCCCAATTCTTTCCCACATGCCTCCACATCCTCATACTTCCCCTGCCCAGTGAGTTGTCAAATGTCCTCAGGGAAAAACACATGATGAGTGTGGAACTCACTTCCTTGTTTTTCCCTTCATCTTGGAATTGTAGCCCCTGAAGTCTTGCCTATGTCAGTTGCTCCCCAGTACCTTCAAATAGTTGTCTTATGTATTTTGTCCAGATTTTATAGTTACTTTTGATGGAAGTTACTTTGGGTTTAATACAAGCTGCTCAGTCATGACCATAACCAGAAGGTCTTTTCTATTATATCTAAATTCCATACATTCTCACTTCTCCCCTCACTTTCAGAAGATGATCTTATAACATAAGTGTGCAAACACCCACAAATCAGAGAGACAGGTGGATATAGAGGCTGCTGTAACCACAAATCTGAGATATAAACCTGTTTTGCTTTTCATTGCAACCAGCAAAGAATCCCTATGGACTCTTCCCCTGCAAGCAGAGAGGGGAGGTCACTTACAGTAAAACAAGGGGTAAAACCGGGACCACAGATTTACACCTTTTTTAAAAAAATGGAAGGTATCCAGCAATTGCAGATTTGTAAAAATATCTACTCAGAACTTGTATTAGAAACTTGGGCTAGTTCTCCTTGAACTCTCTCCTAGGCCTTGAGTGAAAGGGCTATGATTTAAGTGTCTTCACTAATCCAAATACCTACTTTTCAGGTGAAGAAAATGAAGACTGGGAATCAGGTAGCAATTTGCTGAGGATAACAACCTTATTGATAAAAAACAAAATGTTCCACCCACCACCTTTTTAACTAGTCCAAGTTGCTTTTTCTTTACTAACTAACCCTGTATTTCTATCTTTAGGACTTTCACTTATTTGCCAGTCATATCACAGTAAGTGTGTTTCCTTAATATGCATAAAGCTGTGTAACACAGTAAGAGAACAACATCCCAATAGGGAAATAAGCAAAAGGATATAAACAAATAAGATCCAGAAAAGACTCTTGATCATGTAGGAAGAGCACTAACTCATTCATAAAAAGATAAAGGTAGAAGAAGCCTATAATGGTATCTCATTTTTAACCTATTAGATTGAAAAAGATCAAGAAGTTTGGTAATACATTATATAGTTGAGGACGGTGAAATGGGCTCTCTCACACTCAGCTGGTGGGAGTACA